TTTGAGTGTTTTTTGCCTTATTACGTAACTCTCACTAGCTACTCACTTAAAGGACTGAATCCTAGAGAATGACAGTTTTGACTAATACTCTGTTTCTCTAGGTTGTAGATTGTCGTATATTTATCTCCCATTACTTACATCTTTGTGTCGGCTGTTTTTCATCGTATTGACTGGTAATATGAATGCAACGGATAAGTAGTTGGAAATGTAAAACTGGTGGATAAATATAACCAGGCATGATGATTAAGTTTTCAGAGAACATGGATTATATCAAGATTCTAACCAATGACGTTCGTATTACCAACCTGGTGTTCTACTAAATGAGCTACAAAGTCAAGCGGATACAAATGTTTTTACTCAGAAATGACTGCCTTTACACAAACGGGGGAAAAGTAACTAAACGCTATGCATTTTCACGCTGGCTATTTGTCAACTTGTTCATTAGTCTGTGGCACAGGTCATTGTTTCATGTATATTCTACCTTTTTTAGCTTATATCCATATATCTAGAGTTTTTTAGAGAAGTCCTCTGTTGATTACGGTGAACAAAGATGCTTGGGCTTTGAACTTCATGATCGTTACTTCCCACACTGAAAGGTATAAGTTGCGAAATAACTTATATGAATCCTGGTCAAGAAAAGCTAAGAGGTCCATACTGACTTTCTAGACTCGCCTTTGACATTCCCAAACACACTAATGGAAAGCATTACGTGCCACACGTAATTCAGAATATATTGTGAGAAACGACAAGACTGAGACGCAGGACAGAATGTTTATTATGACATCCTGCACAGTAGTGATGAAATATTGTACACTTTCTATTAAAGTAGTCACTTGCACAATGTGTTTCATTGCCTCTTCTGATTCTATCTCGACTTGCTCTTAATACGCTTAACTTGCCTCTTGGGTTCTTCTGGGCAGAATAATTACCCATCACTGGTAATTGCCAATGATTTCTACTACTTATATCCGTCCTTATCAGTAGTACCCACTACAATATATTGCAAAGTAATTTACATGGGTCCTGATAATGATTTAACCGGATAGTTTTGCAAATATTAGGTGGTGAGCGGAAACTTGACGTTAGATATGTCATATTTGTATCAATCTCAGCGTGTTTGGGACTGATAGTTCCGTCATTTCGCATGGAGGTCTACTCCAAAGTTTTTAAAGGAAGTAATCTAAACTAACATTGGGGCCATATTTCAGCGCGAAAGGTTGGAATTATTTATATTTCAAACACACATTTATACATATGAAACATCTAAAAATATAAATGTTATTAAAATTATGTAGATATATATTTTTCAAATATAACAATACGTGTTTCTTCGTTCCACTTTGCTATTATTTTCATTGGCAATATATTTTTAAGTTGGGTTCAAAATTTCGTAGTATATGTGCATGCTGATTATTACGAGTTCGCTTGAGTTGTGAATTCACTTAGGAATACAAATTTTCCCAAAAACTTTTTTACCCTCTTGATCTAGCCTGTTTCTTTAGCAGATGCTTGAAATTCGTGCTATAAAATTTCGTGACTAATCAATTTTATTTGGCTACTTTAAGAGCCACAAATATGGATTTCATGACTTATTGTAGGTGTAACGTGCGATACCCGTTTTTATGTCATATGCTAACATGAAAAAGCACTATGTGATTTAGTTCACAGATATATACGTATGAAAGGACTTCTTTCCGTAGATTTATCTTTAATGATTATTGAAATAATGGGTGGAATTCAAGGTGAAAAAGTACTTCAATCAGTACATCTGTAATAAAATTGACTGAGAATAGAAGGAGTGAACACAGATGATGAAGACGAGTCAAAAGTGACTTTTTTGTCGAACATATCCTTATCGTCACAAGACATCTTAGCGAACAATATTGTTTTCCAAAACAATTAGTTCCCTTTATAAACTTCGACAAAACAATAAAAAGACATAAATTGTCTGAATCGCATAGTGTATTTGCACAACACATTTCGAACTATCTGATCATTCACGTACTCGTCATAGGTATTTATCTAAAAATTCATGAAGATAAGGAATATGTACTTGACGTCTTTTCATTTTCTTACCCCTTATCTTCATGAATTTTAATATAAGAATACCAATGACAAGTACGTGTATGATCAGATAGTTCGAAATGTGTTGTGCAAATACATCACACGTTTCAGACAATTTACGTCTTATTGTTTTGTCGAATATTGTTTTCAATTAGATCTCATCATGCTTCACTCTAATATACATTATACAAATAAAATCTCAACTAATCAAGGTAAATTGTGAGTCAGCGATAACACGGATACAGACTGTGTATTTCAGAATAAATTTAAAAAAAATATTATAAACGATAATGCGTATGTTCAGAATGATACGACAGTATAAACAAGTTTTCAGACAGATAGGTAGACGAACAGACAGACGGACAAGGCAGACCAAAGCTTGGCAAGGGACAATAGGGTTGTGTAGTACTAGGCAGTAAAGGCAGTGAATAAAGTTTGAATGTGTATATGTTACTTCTGTGAAATGGGTGACAAAAATAAAATAGAAAGGGAAAGAAATACATTTCAAAAGTCATAATAATTCCAATATTTCGTGTGGAAGTCTAATCCAAAGTTTTCAGGGAAGTAATCTAAACTAAAGCTGGGGCTATATTTCAGCGCAAAAGGTTGGATGTCTGTTATTAAATTTTCATCATCATGAACGATGTGGCGTGAAATTATGGATAACCAATGAATCTGAAGCGTTGAGGTAATGCATAACGTCTCAGCTACCGGTCACTTACATTGATTATCATGCTCACGAAAACTCAGATAAGTGATGAAGGGTTTCATTCGATGATCATCAATTCTTCATCGTTTAACGTTTTTAGGTTACTCTTTTTCCATAAAGCTTACAATGATCACCATTTACTTTGTTTTATTTGGGTAATACACTTCCTGAATTATGGTCAGATGATAGATAATATTTTAAATCTCATGATTCCCATATCGGTAATATGATATGAATTTAACTGATTCAGTGTCTTTACTTTCCTTCATCAGGTTCGTCACAAATTTTCAATATTTGTAAACAAGTATTCAGATATTCACCCATTATCTTGATGTTTCACTAACATGACTTCATATTTAGTAACTCAAGATATGGTATCATTCCTGCATACATCAACACATACAGGCTTCTAGCATTGTACCTTAATATCGGATAGTGACCAGAAAAAGAAACATCATCTTCCAGATCAACCTAGGACCAGGCATTACTGCTTAACGGTCCGAGTTGCCACACCTCATATCAGTACATCAAGTACAAAGGTAGTGAGGTCAAGCATGAAGATAAGAGAATGCAGTCGAAAGAAATATAAAGTACGAAAAGAGAGAAACGAAGAATGAGAAAGTGGTGAAATTCGATATAGCGTCGTTAAGATGAGGATAATGTATGTATACATCTGCGCCACTGACATCACTTCTCAGCCATGTCATCACCTACAGTCTCCAACCACTGGTTCCCCTTTTCCCACACACCCCAACCACCTAGTCTGCATCACCCCACATGGATCAAACCAACAGTTAGAGACTTCATACATTGGTGCCATGTTTTAGTCTGGCCACCTCGGGCATTTTTCCAGCCTGAACCTACTTCGGCCAACATTGTGTGACGAGGCAATCGGTGACTAGGCATACGTAGTACGTGTTCCCAACCAGCTATCTCAGTCGATAAAGGTTCACAACCTCGTCAACCCGTTTACCTCTTCTCCATAAAACTCTACTCCTGACGTCTGCGTTACTCACGTGGTGACACCACGCAATACGGCATATACTACGAAGGCAACAGTGGTCAAGCACTTGAAGCCTTCTCATGTCTTCCACCTTCAATGTTCATGTTTCACAGCCATACAGTAGAACAGACCAGACTGTTGTGCAATACATAGGAGGCCACCCTTAACTTCTGTAGTCTCTCCGTTATGGTAGGCCATGGTCAATGATCTTGGCTTTTCATGAAGTGCACTTGTTTACACTACACTCTGAAAATATACGAAAAAGAAACAACGGAAAACAGTCTGTAACTCATCAAATACTGATGTGCTTGAGGGTCTCATTAGCATGAAAAATCCCGTCACATTAGTTCTTTGGAAGCGTTTATATAATGCTAATCTCTGACACTGTGAGATATTTTATTCTCATTTCAGTCGATTTATCAGATGCTTTACACTCTGGAACACTACTTTTTTACTGGATAACATCTTAGACACAGTTTTTTGTTCGTAGTCTTTTCTTGGAAGGTATACTATGTAATAATTTCCATATTATCGTCTGCATATCCTGTTATGTCGTGTATAACAGTGAAATCAAATTAACTACATTGGCTGTAGCACGTGTGGCGCAGTTATTAATAGCTAAGATACTCTGAGAGTTTTAGCATAATTTGTTCATTGTTCTGTAAGTATTTCCTATGGTGACTGTTTCACGTTTGATATTCATAGGTAACTTGATTACGTTGTTTAATTGTGTTTGTATGGTTTGTTGTCATGTCTGTGTATGGATAGTGAAAATTGAGTATATATATTCTTCTAGCAGTGGTTCATTAGTCCTAATCGCTGACCAGCTGGTGCCAGTTATTAAGTCAATGCCTTTCTACTGACGATACATTGTTAGGTGGGAACGGCCACTCAGTCTCACTGCACACGTAGTAACTGAATTATTACACGGATCAGTATTAATAATTCATAAGAGACCATGATGAGATTTATTGGCTTATGATAACAATATTATCTAAGGTTGGGTGTATACAAGTTACAATGCATGCAATAGCTTTTTCGGTCTGTACAATAAAAATATTTCTGAAATGCTCAGTTTATTGCTGACTTTTTCTGTTGAATATTCAACATTTAAAAATTCAGGTTGACATAGGAGTAAGTAGAGACATACATGCTCGTAAATTAGCCATGTGAGTGTTGCAGTCTTTCTGTGTGAGCATCGTTTATAATTTTCTCCTTTTGTAGGTTGTTGATGCGACTTTCTCTCGGGATTCTAGATGGGTAGCTGTTAGTAGCAACCATGGTACTACACATGTTTTCCCTATAACTGCTTATGGCGGTCCGATCACTGTTCGTACACATACTCGACCTCACGTTGTGAATCGCACTTCACGATATCACCGGTCATCTGGTTTGGAAGAGCATCATCTGACTAGACCACAACCTGAAAGAAATGCAAGTGATTCAACTTTATTTTACAGTAGTTCCAAGAGTAACTCTGCCAATATTCTGCATCATATTCCTCAGGCTGGTTCTGTCAAGCATCCTTGCGTTCTTCATGTTCAGTCGTATGGTTCCGTCTCCGGTACATCAGGAACAGTTGCAAGTTCTTGTCAAACAGCGCCAATAGCAGGATTTGCACCCCAATGCCCTCATCTGGGATTTACGTCTGCAGTAACTCCATTCGAAGAAAATCCTTTGGGGTATATCAGTGAGTTTTTTGCATGTTCTTTTACTTTAACTTGTATAATTTTGGAAGGGAAGATAACATAGAGGTGTTGGCTCTTCTCTATTATGTTTATTGTTAGCTATTGCAGTAGCATCGTTTGAATTCTGGGATCAAATAATTGGTTTTTAAGGTGTTGGTTGGGTTGGTTTCGCCGGGTAACATTTCATGGCAGTTTTCAACATTTTTTTTGATCTGAATGCTGCTTACCTGTGTTGTTTAAGCTTGATATATAAAATCTAGAGTGTAATAAATCTTTTTTGCTGGAAGGGAACATTCAGAGTTATTTTTGTTTCATCGTGATTAGTTCAAAATTTCCTTTGCCTTCCAGTGAATAGTAATAACGTTATGAAGTTAGAGGTGAATCTGTAAGATTGTTACTGGAAATTTAAGCATTTTTCCCCTCATCACATTATCATACGTATTGCGTTTCTGCAAACAAAATCCATGATACCGTCATTTTGAACTTCAGGTTGTCGAATCAGTCTTATCAGATCACTATATTACAAAATTTATGCGATGGAAGGCGGTCAGCACCGGTTGGGGTATGGAAATATGTCATAACATTGAGTTCTATCCATTGATCTGCAGATGCGGTTAATCCTGTTTCACAGGTGATCATTTGTGATATGAATATGAAGAAGTGAGGAGACTTGTTCGTGGCACTGAGCTGTATTTGCTCTATTTGCTACCTGTGGGTCCTGGGTTGGCACCCTGCTTGGCCTAAGAATGTTTGAATGGTCAAGTAGTATCATTACCCTTCGCACAACATGTATGGGCCATTTTCTCCTGCATGAACATGCGTGCGGTCGCTGAGACCATTTAGATTTCGACACAAGCTCACTGAAGTGTAAGTTTTCTTAGGGTATAATATGTTCATGATGATAAATCCTAGTCAACTCATTCAATAAAGATTGGAAAAGAAGCAGGAAATGATGTGTTAACAAGGGTAGGATTAGGTGGAAAGAAAGCTGAAAGTGACCGATTTAAGACGTGATATCCTATCCATTAGGTTTATGACTCAATCTGAATTGTGTAGGTAGATAGGTGTAGACTGAAGTATTTGAGGCAATAAGAATCTCAGTGGTTGGAGAATTTCGGTGATATGGATGAAAATTGGTCACGATGTATCAGATTTATGTACTATTTTAAAGAGATTTTGATTGTTTTCACTAACATTCGTTGATTGATTCTGCCTTGCCTTATACGCTTTCACCTACTTTAACATCATTTAGTAATTTGAAATGATATCGTTTTATATCATATTCTGTACTGGCCTGTGTGTCTGTCAATGTTGTATTTTAATATTGAGATTACCACCTTATAATGTACTATATGACATGATAAAAACACATTTATAGATTGAGGGTATGATCTAACTTTTTCCCCTAATTATTTCAACTTCTACTACCTTGTGGAAACTTATCTCTTTGTAGGGAAATCTTCACAAAGTATTGCGACATTGAACAATGTACTTTTCTACTTTGTTAAGACTTCACGAAAGCATATTTTTTCACTATTAACTATACATATCGTCTAATATTTGTTGAAGTCTATCGATTCAATGGGATTATGTGCCTTAGTTTACATTTCATAGCGAATACATTAAAGACTTTCATATCACCTTATCACATATTTTTCTAAAAGGTTGTTTTTTCTCTACAGATACTGATATTGATTCAAAAATTATTTTAAATACTAAAAGTATTATTTACACTTAGTTTTAATATGTATATTATTATTTTTCGGTGAGCAGATGATGATAATGTGTGATAGTCTTTGCTTATAGCATTTTTAATGCACTATTGTTGTTTTGTTGTTGTTTGAATTAATCTGTTGCAAATAAAAGTTCATTAGACATTATTAATTTGTGTATACTCAAACATAAATTGGTTAAATTTTGAAGGAGTTGTGGAGATTTGGAAATATTTCAAGTTGTTACTCATCGTAGACTGACATCAGTTGGAGGAACAAAGGAAACCGTGAGCTAACAGAAGTTGGAAATATGGAGCATTGGATTCTGACCCAGTGGCTCAATGATAGCGCGCTGGCCGTGGAACCTGAAGGTCGCGGGTTCGATCCCTGCTAGTGTGGGGTCGTGGGTGCGCACTGCTGAGGAGTCCCATACTAGGACGAAACAGCTGTCCAGTGCTCCCAGGTTTCCTTTGTTCCTCCAACTGCTGTCAGTCTACGATGAATAACAACTTGAAATAAATTGGTTAATTTGAATTTGGTTTGTTTAATCATTGTTATCTACTTTTAAGTGGAGCTGTGACTCCATTGGTTTAGGGTCATAAGTTCGATCATCACCCCCTACCTATCGAGGCTTGGAGGGAGCCAGGTAGTATTACTAAGTCTCATAATAAATAGGTGTGACTCATTGCTTACCACATGAATATGTAGACGGACAGATAGAATCAACTTAGAACCTCACACAAACCTGCATCGATTAAAGTCCCCACATCTCACAATGGTCTACAAAGAACAAATGGATAGAAAAAGACTGATATCAAAGCACACAAAGTTGTATGAGAGAAACAACAATTTGAACATAACGGTTAGTGAAAATATTCAAGGTTCAGAGGCAGTCGATGAGTGAATACATCTGTCCAGCCATGTCACCAAGAGTCCTCAACCACTGATTTCTATCGTCTCTGCGACATCAACCAGGCAGTCTATAGCCTCCAACACAGGTCAGATCAGAGACTTCATGAACTGGTGCCATATCTTGGTCTGACCACTCTGAATCCTCTTCCAACCTAATCCAACTTCTCTTAGCATGATACTTTGAGGCAAGTGTTCGCTTGGCATGCGTAATGCGTGTCCTAGTCACCACAGCCGATGTATATGCACAAGGTTGCTGAGTGCATTTTAATTCTTTTTCTCAATCTACTTTCTTTTTCACAAGAATTATGACCGCATACTACTGAATTTGAAATTATCGGTTTGAATCCTACTGAATAGGAATATAAAAAGAGGTATTTTTTCAGCTGTGATACATGACAAGAAGAGTCATTTTATCAACCCATTTATTACATCTTATACGCTTATAATATAAATTGAGCATACACTGTAGTGATATAAGGTTTACAGTAATAACGAACTTATCTGCGAGCAATGAAACAGACAGGAATATATAGTCTCCTTTGACTGTAAATTCATTTGTCTATTTTCTGTGTTTTTACCACCTATAGGTGGCATCAAACCGCACAGTCTTCTTTAGTTGCGTTACAAACAGTGAGCATAACCGGACCGTATGTATTGGTTATTTTATGAGGTAGTCGTCTCTCTTTAACTCCAACTCTCATGCTTTATAGCGTTATTAAACACAATGGTTTTACTTTTTGATTTGGGGTATTAGTAAGTATCCGCATAATTGTATGACGGTGACTAATATGTAAATCGAACTTAGCTGTGGCTTACTGATGTAGAGAGTTGACTTTTAACCGGTGGGTGACGGGTTCGAACCCGCTTCACCTACCATGGTTTGACGAGCCAGGTACTATCGTTAGTCCTCATGCAATAGGTGTGCCTCATTGCAAGCATTCATATGGTTGTTGAGTGAGTTTCCTTTTTTCCCCAGTGTGTTAATTCAGAAAGATGCATTTGTCAATTCACTTGACATTTCCCTATGCATGAAATCTACTTATCTTAAACTTCTTAAAATAATCGTACCGATTCCATCTATCACAATGCTGAAAATAACAGTCAAAGTTAGAGTTATAAGAAACGGAAGACTAAGAAGCTGAGACCTGCTGGAAAGAGGTTATCGAACGATTTAGGCTTAAATCAGTATGATTCTGTCAGATTACTTGAGTTCTATCCCGGTTTACGAACCTCGCCTTGTTAACTAGTTAACCAGTTAATAGCTGGTCCTAAGGTCGGATAAAGAGACAAGGTTGGGCATAGGGCTAACAACTCTACCCCGAAAAACCAATCCAATCGCTAAACAAACTTCAAAGCACAAAAAAAATATCAACAATGAAAACAAACTTATTCCTCGCGGGAATCACAGAGACGGAATGACGACAGTTACTGAAAGCCTTCGGCAAGCCAAATGGCCGATGCGTCTCCTCTCTCTCGATGAATACAGAAGTAAGCATAGGGACATGAAATGTCCGCACAATGTTTGAAGTTGGTTGACTGACAAAGCTGCTCAGATTGCAAAAGAGATGAGAAGACATAACATAGATGTGCTAAGAATCTGCGAGGAATATGCAGATAGAGTGGAAGGTGGACTCTCAAAACTGTCAACTGGAGAGTCAATGATCTACTCCGATATTGTCACTCAGACGACAACCACGAACGAGCACACTGAGTTGTGGAGTGGCTATCATGATGTCCCCTCCAAGGAGCATAGAAGGCTCTCTCACTCTCTCAAGCAATGGGAACCAATCTCCTCCTGCATGATGAGGATCATGACAAGAAGATGGATTCAACTGAAGAGGAAAGGAAGTCACAAGACTACAGTTCAGGTTCAACACCCAGAACAGAAACTGAACTGAAGGACTAAATTACAAAGGACATTTTCACGTCAGTCAGCCACATGGGAGGAAGGAGACGTTAAGCAACATCTGTGAAGAGACCTTTGTGGAAGAACACTGGAACTCTTTGAAAGCTGTGTGGGAGGAAACCTGCACATCCGTACTAGGAAGCAAGAAGATGCAAGACGAGACAAGGAATGGATCTCGATGGACAAATGGAAACCGACAGAGCAGGGAGAGGAAGATAGTGAGGCAGAAGATGAAACAGTACAGTACAGTGCAGTGTAGGGATGAACAACGAAAAGAGGAACTGAGTACTTCTTATAAGACACCACACTGGACAAAGAAGTGAAGAGGAGTGTACGGAAAGACAAAAGACACTTCTACGACACATTGGCGAGTGAAGCAGAACAGGTTGCGGGTAAGAGAGACAGAGAACTGACAACATTATATCAAATAACCAGGTTACTGTCTATCTGGAACAGGACAACACAGATGAAGGTAATGAAAGATAGTGAAGGAAACCTAGTTACCAAAGAGGAGAAACAATAGAAACAATGACCCGGCCACTTCAAAAAACTCTTGAATCGACAACCACCACCACCTGCAAATCGGCCAGAAATAACACCACCAGCCCAACCACACAAGTATCAGTCAACGCAAGCCCTCTGAGAAGAGCAGAAGTGAAGTCCTGAACGCCATACCATGAAGTTGCTGAAATCCGCCAAACCAACAGGATGAGATGGAATTCCTCCAGAAGCACTGGAAACAGACGCAGAGACATCAACAACAGACATGTTCATACCACACCACTATTCCAGACGGTTTGCAAGCAAGGAGGGTGGGAATGGAGGAAAGGTACCTACCTGTCGATTGATTGGAAGAAGAGCTACCTTGTTAAACTCCAGAAGAAGGGTGGGCGACCTGAGCCTTTGGAAGAAGAACTGGCGAGAAATCATGCTCCTGTCCACCCAAAGCAAGCAAAATATTAACCCACATCATCGTGGAGAGACTAACGATGTACTGGATTCAAAATGACGACCAGAACAGACCGACTCACTGACTGACTCACTCACTGACTGACTGACCAACTGGCTGGCTGGCTTGCTTCACGAAAAACAAATCATGTGTGGATCAAATTGCAACACTACACTACTCATCATCACAGAAGAGAGCATAGAATGCCAGTCAACTGGATCTTTACCTCAACTCAACTCAACTCAACTTTCATCCACTTTGAACAGGCCTTCGACGGTGTCGACCGAGAAGTAATTTGGCAGGCAACTACTTCAACACTACGGCTTTAGTACCACATACCTTTATCAACCTCATTCAACAGCTAGCTATATGCTATGCTGCATGATGAGGCTACATGCCAAGTGATTCTCAGTGGAAAGCTCAGTGATGCTTTTGAAGTGAAGAAGACAGGGGACAGGAGTAAGACAAGGTTGCCGCCTACTATCAACGATGATCTTCATGATTGTGGTCGACTGGACTCGACTGGATCATGCAAGAGACAAGTGTGAGGAGGGAGAAGAGGGTGGGTGATACACTGTCTGCACTGATGAAAAGAGCACAGAAGAAGATTTGGATTTCGTCAGCGATGACGATTTATGTCTAATGTCTTGTGGCACAAACTCGAACATCTACAGACACAATCCAAGAAGTTGAGAGAAGAGGTAGGACAGCGAAGACGGGACTTCAAGTGAAGGTGGAGAAGACAGAGGTGATGAAGATACCCAACCAACAACAACATCAACAAGAAGCACCAATCATCGTCAGTGGGAGAAATCTGAAGGAAGTTGTCTCCTTCACCTACCTGTTTAGGCAGCCTCGTTAAAACAACAGGCAGTGGCACAGGCACAGGCACAGATGAAGACATCAAAGGCAGGATCGGAGCAGCAAGCAAGACAGGCCTTCCTTCATTAACCTGAAATCAGTGTGGAGATCTATTGTACTCAACTCAACTCGACTGCACTTCACTCAGCATAAAGCGTGAACAACATCGAGATTTTCAACACTAATTCAGTCAAGTCAGTGTTTGTGTGTGATGGTTGAGAGACTTGGCGCGTTATGGAAAGCATTTCCAACAAACTACAGACAAACATCACATCTACACCTGCCACCTAGGCTCACTCGATACTGAAGATCAGTTCAGATCAGATCAGATCAGATGGTCAGAATAATAAGAATGGGGAACAAGGAACTCTGGCTGGCTGGCTGGCTGGTTGGTTGGTTGGTAACGAACCAACCAACAACCCATCACCTAACAAATATGCAGAATACAGTGGAGATGGATTGTATTGGGCATACACAGAGAATAGCATTCGGGAACATTACGAGGCAAGGGACAGACCTTCGAGTGGAACGCATGTGGGAAACGACGAGTTGGGTGTCCGAGGCGTGGGTGACATGGCGGAGATAGTGTGAATTAGGAATGAAAGCTACTGGGTAGTCGTGGAGCCAGGTTGGATAGACTGCAGAGGAGAGAGTGCAATGGAGATGTGGTTCTGAAAGCGTATGTTCCACTTGGGACGCAAGGTATAATAATATAATTTCAATGCAGGTTGAAGAATGTGGAAAAGGTCTTCAAATGCACTAATTTGAATTTTACATGGATTTGTGTTCGTAGTTGTATTTTTCTTCGACAGGAGCTGATTATAGCGGTTACAAGACCTTTTCGCTGAGTTTTAGCTGTGTGTGAACAGTTGATTATGAAACGAACTTTAATGCCCCGGATATTGAAGATTTAGTTATCTTTCTTGTTTTTGTAATAATAATTAAGTTGTTCCATTTGATGACTTATGTCGTCAATTGTGATATCTCCTCAATATTGTGATCAATTGTCAACATACATCTTATACAAATTATCTTATCGGGTTTACTTTGTCGACTTTTACTAAGGCTGTATAAGGGCATAAAATTCATGCGCAAATGGATTGTTTAGAAAGTAAGACTGGCCGAATCAGGTCGTTCCACCGGTCCTAAAAGTCTGTGACTGTTAACCTTTCCCGTGTTGAGAGATATAGACGGCCTGTGTGGCGTCCTTGATACGATAGGAATCAGTGGTTGAGGGCTTTTGGTGACATGGCTAAAAATCGGTAACAATGTCGCAGATGCATTCACTCGTTGATTGCTTCTGAATCTTGAATATTTTCACTAACCATTATGTTCAGATTGTTGATTCTCTCACACAACTGTGTTGATTTTGTCAGTCAGTCAGTAATTGATTTCAGACTGATACCAGCGGAGGATTTTGTTTTGAACCTGGAAGAAAAACTGCTAACTTAACACCATTATTCTTCCGGGTTTTACAATCTAGAATGTACCGGTTATAACTGAATTTCATGCAACTCACAAATTCTTACTTCTTTTCATCAATTCCTTTTCGCTCCTTTTCTTGGTTGATTAACTCTCTTTTCTACTTTTTTTTAACTTCATCACTAATTGGAGTTTTTAGATTGAAATCTTCAATCTTTTTTAAACCATGCATATAACTGAAATTATATGATCACCATATCCAGATCCAATCATCATTTGGAAAATATATCTTATTAGATAGAATTGGCATTGTTGACTGTTATTTTGTATAAACCCACAGGACACATCAGTATCTGTTTAAAGTTTAAAAGGATGAAAATTGGGTACTGTCAAATGTTTTCACACAGCTCAGTAAATAATTGAAACAGATGTAATCAGTTTAGTTTCCAACTTTCAGTCTCATAGGAAAACAACTGAATTCAGTAGTGATATGACCAAGAGATCTAATTCAGATGTTTGCTTTCTTAATCTGGTAGTTGACATTATCGAGCTTGTAGTAATCGACGATTTTCATACTGAATCAAATCCACTGATATCAATCCATATATCTCCATCCAAACAGACTTTTTAAATACACAATCCAAGTTTAGAACGAAATAATGTATGTAAAAAAGTAACTAGTTTGAAAGTCATCTGGTTACCTCTTTGATACTCATTCTAATATATTTCTGAAGTTATATCTACTCTTCTATATAATCGAAGAGTACAAGTTATCTAATTTTAATTCTACCATTATAAATCCTCAATTGCTGAAAGTTGAAAAGCCAACTTTACGCACTTGGTAGACTTATACTTCTTTCCTTTTAAGATGGGTATTGTTAGTCAGTTTATTGATTAATTGGATGAACTAAGTGGTGGAAAACATTCCAGGATGACTTAACTAGGGACTTCAATTGATGCAAACTGTTCACTTTATATTCTAGTTTCCATTCTTATCCTTTTATAGTGACTTTTGAAATAGAAAAAACAACAGTATTTATTTTATAGAGAGGTTATGAAGCTTTACAGAGTAAAGTTAAGATGTAAATATATGTTAATAGCATTTTATTTATGTAATTCCCCATTCAACTTCATTTGCATAAATTTCTACCTTATTTTTTCTCTAGATGAACAATGTTCAAATACAACATGTGTAGTTGACAGTGATCCAACTTTATCTGGTACCTCACCACTGAAATCTTCATTTACATCTGCAAGTTCATTTTCTTCAGAAACATCTAGCCAACTTCATATTCCTGGTTCTCGAAGTTATGTGCCCGACCAATCCAATATGTTATTTGCAAATAGTGAAGGATTATGTGCTTGCCCACCAAATGCACTATATAATAGTACTAATTCTCGGTTACCACCTTATCCAGAACCCTGTCGTGTCAAAGCTGAGGCGAGATTAAAACCATCTAGTGGAAATACCATAACATCAGTTGCCCTTGATGCTGCTGGTAGTGCTTTGGAAGCTGTTACACCTATGACAGGCACTAGTACATCGTTAATCGACCGCAGTTCATCATCTGTAAAACCGTATTGTTGTAGTTCTAATGGCGCCCATTACTCTGATGTGTGCACACATACACAAATACCGATTGCTTCAGCAACTCGTTCAGCCTTACACTCACGAAAACATAATCGGCGTCAAAGAGGTTGTCAGTCGCTACAAAGTGTAGACCAAGATATTTCAAGTCCAACTAGTAGTAGTGTAAGAGCTGCTCGTTTTGGACCGCCTGTGTGTTTCCTTCCAAATCAATTTCGCTTAAATAATATATCTTCAGATTATTGTAGTGATCCATATGGTAAGACAACTTTTTATGTTATTCTTCCACAACTCTTTTTTAACGGTGATTAGTCGATTAAACAAGATAGTTCATTTTAAACATCTGTAAATCTGGATTTTTGACTAGACTACATAAAAACCTTTGTTAAGAGATTAATTTCCATATTCATGGTTTATGATTGGATTTGGAGTGAAGTTTACAACTTGGCCATCACTCGAGTTTACTATCGCAGTTGGCAGAGCGTTAGGTGGTTGATGCCGAGGATGGCTGTTACAGACTCTGACATGACATAGGCTTTTTTTCAGCTACCGAGAAATATGCCACTCAGTAATTGAAATTCCATGCCGGAGAACCAGCGGTCATTTTGATCGTTTGCAATTTGATATATATATATATATATATATATATATATATATATATATATATATATATATATATATATAGGTAGATTTATTCCCATTATCATGATCAGTATTTACATTTAATACACGATTTCGACACAGATCTAGTTCAATGTAAAAATTGCATATCTAGGTATCATCTGGCTGTGTAGTACATCTTTTTCATTAAAAAACAGTTTTGTATCTTGGCTTAACATCTCTATGATGCACTTTTCTTTATACAGGCTGTACTATCTCCCAATGATATTTAACACACTATATATTCATAGTATCAAATTGGTGGGAAATTCTGTGTTACGGGGAATCTTTTTATCTCCAGTTCCCTTATGACTGATTTACTGCTTAGGGAGCATCTGACTAACAGTCTAAATACAATAGGTGAGCATACTGACAAGATTCAGTCTTTTCAACACCTTGATAAGAAATATGTATGTACTAGCGAAGATTTGCAGCTCAGGATGAGGATGATAACTGTTCAGTGTTCTTCGTGCTTTGAAATTTATTCCTGGACGCTTCATCACTAGGCTAGGTGACTTCCATATTAAGCAAATACTTGTGAAGTTACCTAGCCTGATGACAAAACGTACAGGAACATAACTCGAAGCTTGGAGAACACCAAACAATTATAAAGTCTGAATATATTTTACTTGTATTTATCACCTGCTTAGTGTAAAATATGCTGTAGAACTAGTCTGATAAGTGAGAAATAGAATGATCAAATTCACTGTATGAGATCTTTGCTTCATAGTATTCATTGTGACTAGTTGTGCGACTGAGGTATAATCGTTTTAGATGGCAAACATAGAGGTATCATAGATTTTTGGTAATTATTGTCTTTGTAGCAAAACTTCGCATATAACGAGACAAAAAAGTAAAAATGTGTTTAGATATAGAGGAAGAAAGCAAGTAAATCGACGAGGTTGTGAACTTCTAGCGGTTAAGGTGACTGAGACTTGTGAATCCTGACTCATCGCATAGATTTACATTCAAGGATAGCTGAAGTAGGATTAGTTTTGGAGAAAGCTAGCTGACTGTTTGTCTGAGCCCCACTGATCACCTTGTTGAGGCGCTCAAGATGTTAAGAATCGGTGATCAGAGACACTTGGTGATCTGGCTCGAAATCGATCACGACAGCGCAGATATGCTTGTTCTCTTATCTTCAAAAATTTGACCGGTTTTCAATAACCTTTATTGGCTTATTCTTTCTACTAATATCCTTTGTTCTATCGGGTGGTTTGTGGAGATTTATTAATTGATTCTAAGCTGGGATTTATTGTGGACTGACATCAGTTGAAGAAACATTGGAAACGTGGGAGCACTGGACGGCTCTTTCGTCCTATTATGGGACTCTTCAGCAGTGCGCACCCGCGACCCCGCCCCATTGGGGATCGAACCTAGGACTTTCAAGTTCCATGACCAGCACATTACCATTTAGCCCACTGGGTCCTGTTTCTTATCTCTAGTGGAGCGGGGTCATGGGTACGCACTTCCGAGGAGTCCCATACCAGGACGAAACAGCTGTCCAGTGCTCCAATGTTTCCCTAACTGGTGTCAGTCTGTGATGAATTCCAACCTAAAATTTACTATCCTTTGTGTTTATTTTTAATAGCATCCCATTTACTTTCACTTCTTTTAGGTTGGTGTGAAGTGTAGCAACTTGAATTATAGTGCTTTTTGTATACGATTCTTATTTGGTCGGTATGTACCTAAAAATGTATTCACATGATTGATCGACATGACGCAAACGAGCATCTGTATTGAGTGTATAGTTTTTGGTATACTTAACAATGTGCGTAGCAAATCTCTTGCGCACAAACAAGATTTTGGTTGGAATAATTATTTTCGGGTAGTAACATGCTTTTAGAGACTAGATCTACTGTTTTATTTACTTAAACGACCGTGGATAGTGTACCTTGTTCGACGTCATTCATATTTTATCTCTTCTGTTTAACATCAAGATTTGGTTTTTCAAAGATCAATGGATTGTATTTATGGTTTACATCAGTTTACTGAGATTAAATATATTATTATTCGTGTACAATAAATTATTCACTTGATTTGTAATTGATCTACAATGGTTGTTTGAAATTTCAGGCAACTACAAGAGCAAGAGTTCTGTATATTTATAATATTAAGCCTTTGCTTACATGTGGATATCATACACACAATATGAGTTAACCTCAGACATGATTAGTTTCTCGAATTCTATGCCATTCGAGTGACTAAAAGTTCTCTTTCCTAGACGAATGCTAGTAACCAATCTGTGTTCACTGGGTATGTGTAAGATATATTTTCACTGACAATGTATAAACTGAAGTATCTGTCTTTGACCAAGTTAAACTCAAGAGAAAATTATTGATTGTTTCGAAGTCCCTAGTCTCGAATTCGTCATGCTACTTTATTCGTAAATTTCAAGAATGCTCTTTCGACTACTGAATATTTTGCAAGTAGTTAAATATTAGGTAAATAAATATACGATTATCTCACCTTTTTTTGTTTCGATAATATGCTCATATATTTTGTCCAGCTGTTTTTCTCAAAGGTGTGCGATTTACTTAAAATTCATATCAGCAGACACATTCTTTCTGTTTGTTTTTAAGGTGTGTGGATCGATAAAATGTGTAAAAGAGTAAATACATATTGTCTTGTACTTTCATTTTTCCAAGAATGCTTTGATTTAAAACATAGGAAGATAAAGCTACCGCTCTTCAAGACAAGACATGCATCACACGTGATTAGTCGACACCAGTGTGAAAAGTTTTTAAGAAGAAAGTTCATATATTGGTAGGAATGTAGCGAATGATTGAAATAAGACTTCTGGAAGGTAAATGAAAATAAATGATTTATTTCACTGTTTATGAGACCACTGTACTATATTGTATGAAAGTCGCTGAGAAGAATAGGAAGTGAATTTATAGAATGTACTGGTTACTTCACTTACTCGAATGATCACATCAACTATAATTATTATCAGAGAACAAGTATTACTGCATAGCGGTCAAATCTATCCCATTGTGTGACTATCAGACATGGCTGTTTGAAGTAGGTGTGAAGAAGTAACCAGTTTTTGCAAATGAGTATCCTCGCAGCATTGCTCCGAATTTCAGAATGATTATGTTGAGAGATGTAGAGGAGTAGTGGATAGTACTGGGCAAAGTAGGTAGATGGTGCAATGATGCTGTGAATCTTTAACGACTGAGTTTGCATGAATATCAGATACATATACCGAGACACCGTCTTCCTCGACACACAATGTTAGCTAAGGTAGAATTAGTTTGAAACGAGACTCACAGTGACTAAACCAAGGCTTCACACTTGTTCAGAAAATCTCTGACTGTTCACATGTGTTGTGTGAGTGGATGTGTGGGTGCAGACTGTCTAGTTGGGAGTTCCTCATGATAATAGCAACTAACGTTTGCTGACTATCAGTGGCATGGATGAAAATTGGTCACAATGGTGCAGATGTATTCACTCCTTGACATCTTCGAATGCTTGGGTATTTTCGCTAACTGTCATCTTCAAATTATTCCTCCCCCTCCTTCCCCCCCCATACACCTTTGTCACTTTGAAACCAGTTTTTTTCTCCATTTGTTATTTGCATTCTGCTGTGAAATGTGGCAACATGGATCGGTGCACTTTTGTGTGAGTTTCTACTTTGATTTTGTTTGTCTTTCCGTATCTTATCTGAAAAAATTTCTCTAAACCATTGAAGTTAAATTTTAGGATAAGTTTCTCGATTTATTCATGTAGTACTAAAATATTCATGTGCCTCAAAATCGCCGGCATGATTCGCCACCAGATACAAGCTGTTTTATGATGATATTTAAGTTTTACTGCGGCATCATTCTCCATTCTTTACATATTGTGACCATGTTCTACTAGCGTTCTTTAGAATTGAACGCAAGAAGTTTTATATTCAGATGAATCAGGAATATCACAAATTGACATATTCCTCCTCGACCTCTGTTCTTGGGAATTATTCTCACTGACAACGTGGACACAAAATTATTATTGTGTTATTAATTATCCCTTGTGTTCCTAGAGGAGCACAGGGATTCAGTATGACGTCGCCATTGCACTCTCTCCTCTGCAGTCTATCCAGCCTGGTTCCACGACTACCCAGTAGCTTTCATTCCTAATTCACACTATCTCCGCCATGTCACCCACGCCTCGGACACCCAACTCGTCCTTTCCCACATGCGTTCCACTCGAAGGTCTGTCCCTTGCCTCGTAATGTTCCCGAATGCTATTCTCTGTGTATGCCCAATACAATCCATCTCCACTGTATTCTGCATATTTGTTAGGTGATGGGTTGTTGGTTGGTTCGTCACCAACCAACCAGCCAGCCAGAGTTCCTTGTTCCCCATTCTTATTATTCTGACCATCTGATCTCATCTCATCTGATCTCCAGTATCGAGTGAGCCTAGGTGGCAGGTGTAGATGTGATGTTTGTCTGTAGTTTGTTGGAAATGCTTTCCATAACGCGCCAAGTCTCTCAACCATCACACACAAACACTGACTTGACTGAATTAGTGTTGAAAATCTCGATGTTGTTCACGCTTTATGCTGAGTGAAGTGCAGTGCAGTCGAGTTGAGTTGAGTTGAGTACTATAGATC